ATATATATATATATATATATATATATATATATGTAGTATGTAAGGAGAGAGGTGAGAGATGGATTCAGCTCAGGGGTGCTCTCTTACATTTTATAATATCTAGACTAGTTCAAGTACATGATATTATACTTAATTTAAACGGATTCTTTCATTTTTCTGGACTGAGTAATATCGTGTTTTGAATATTAAATGTGGACGGAAACGTGTTTAAATTTCTGACTCACCAACAACAGTGAGTCGTTTATAAAAACGATTTAAAACACATCACACATTTACATTGATTTGGCAGATTGATTACAATTAACACAGCTTAATTAATGGGCTTTGCACTGAGAAGACCATACGGCCATGATCTTCTCATTTGCAACTGAAATACAACAGACATTTCTGAAAATATCTGGATTAATTACTGGCAGATAGAAGAGTTTTAAAGATGGGACAATGAAGTTTAACTGGAGAGAGATAGGTGAGGGAATGTGTCTGTTATAACCAGAACAACACGCTCCTTTGGACCCAGCTTAACCCACGGTACACTTCGCAGTTGAAGATCGACTCTTTACCTTTCTGAAGATATTTCAGTTCCGGCGTCAAGTTCCACTTCAAGCCACCTTTCAGGGTCTCCGTAAGAACAGCTGTGGCCTCAGGAGTCGTGAGAGTACTTCGTTCAACAGCACGCTCACCTCACGGGTGGACTCACATGAGCTGTGAGCCCGTCAGAGGTTCCACTCAGATGTGGAAGATTCCATAATCCCCACGAGACTCGGAAGAACTTCGGATCATGTCTGAAACTTCTGTTCCCTCCAGCAACTTTTCGGTTCGGTTCTGCTCTCCGAACTGTTCCGCCTTGGAACTCTTGTTCTGCGTTCTTCCTGGAACTAGGAAGTGTTGACCCTTTTAAAGAGGTCACTTCCGGTTCCTCTGAGAACTTCCTGATTGGTTGAACGAACCAATCAGGGGTGTGGTTTTAGTGACGTAAGAGGGTATTACAAGTCAAGGAGAAAGAGTAGATTGTTTTAAGAACAGACAGAAAGATGTTTTGAAGAACAGAGACTTTTTGGAGCCAGTCTTCTTCTATCTATCTGAAAAAGTTAAACATGACATTTCTTTCCAGTAAACATGTTTTTGACCGAAACTTGACTTCTGACCCACATCACGACTTGCTCATTTCAGACAGAAGATCAAAAAATGCATAATTACTCTTGTAACAAACATTAGCTTGATTTCTACTTTGAATGAGGATTAAAAATCATTTATACTGTTTCACAGTTGATTTAAAGTGAGTAGTTCACTTCAACATTTAAAATGGTTTGAACTAAACACACTTTTGATTATCAAGAAATTTGTAAAATAGTAATGATAATATGAAAGAGAGTGTTCTTTCAATTGATCAGTGCAGGATACAATTAGAAAGTCTCTGGATGAGCTTAATTTGTATTTCTGGACTCAAATCAATGAAATAACAGTTCTTGTCCCAGGAAGGCCCTCAGGGTCAGGTGTTTGACCTGAGGCTTAGTTCACTACATATATATATATATATGTGTGTGTGTGTGTGTGTGTTCATCGATGTGATTAATCAAAATCAGTTAAATGTGAACACTAGTGCTCTTTATTCAGAAAATCCACAACACATTTTAGGATCTGGTTATTATAGACACATTAAATGTTAAATATGAATATTTCAAAATTTATCACCACGCTAATAGTATTACATATGTTAGTAGTTGTAAACTAGGGCTGGGCCATATCATTTCGTTCACGATAATACCGGTTAAAAAAAGCTTGCCCGGGAAAATGACTTATATCATGATATGCTAATTTTATGATGTAAATAGCGGGGTGCCCTGCACCGTTAACAGAACCGAGCACGCTGAACTACCGAACCGCGCACCCCCCCACCCACCTGTCAGTACTGGCTTCACGCTAATTAGATGTGCGCAATACTAGCTAGCTAAAAAGCTAAAAACAAACAACGTGGCTCAGCTGTCTCTCCACCCAGCTCTAAACTGCCAGTGCAGACAGAGACAGCTCAGGCAGCTGTCTCTCCCACACCCTCACCCTGCACTAAGCTGCTGGTACATGCGCAGCTCGGCATTTTTCTCTCCCCCCACCCCGCTCTGCTGCCGGTGTGGGTGCAGCTCGGCTGGGTCTCCCCCCGCTCTAAACTGCCGGTACACACATGCACAGCCCAGCTGTGTCTCTTGAGTTCCGCAGTCCACAGACCAAGAACAGAGTTAGGTGATCAGAGACAGAGCATCAGAGAAATTAATCATTCCTTCAGGAACAGAGGAAGATGAAACACCAACAAGCTTCAGGGTCAGCTGATCACCTTGTTACAAGTTCTGGAAGTTATAGCTCATTTAAAGGCAACATATATTTTGTTGTATGTTACATTTATGCTCAACAGATCTTAAGTTTTCATTTTATTTAGTTATTTTGGGAAACTGCACCTGCACTTTAGCTTTTGTGGTGGATTTTGTTAATCTATATTTTGTGCAGACTTTTTCAATCTAAATAACAGAAGGATCATTTTTATTTTTTATTTTTATACTTTGAGACTGAATACTTTACTAAATAAAGTAATTTCAGTAAAATTAACCCTTGTTTTTTTTGTTTTTATTTAATACTGCAAAGAAACATGTTAAGTTAATTTTATCATATCAATAACTGTGATTTCTTTTTTTTTTGTTATATCACGAAATTTATTGTTATCGTCAGAATGCTCTGAAATATCACAATATTATATTTGAGCCATATCACCCACCCCTAGTGTAAACAAAATAAAAAATATATTTGTTTAGTGCTTACCTTTCACCGAAAAATTTAAGGAGTAAACATTTTTAATAATCACGTTAAAAGTTACAAATGTTATTTTTGACACCTGTTTGTTTTCCAAATATATTAGTGTGTGTGAGAATGACAGACATTATGCTAAAAAAAACTTTGTAGAACAGTGCTTTATGAAGATCAGTCCATTTCTTTCTATTAGGTGACCAGCAGATCTGCCAAATTCAATATGGCGGACGCGCCGACAACCAGTCTGCTCAACGAAGCGTCTACAGCCAAACCCATCTGTTCTCCAATTGGATTCTTAATTTGTTATTGACAAGACATTGACCAATCAGCTGAGAGGAGGAAAATTCAGGACAAAATTTGTACACATAGTTTTTGGATTTGTATCTGTAAACAGAACATCATAAAATTGTTTTGTAACATTGTAAAAAAGTTTTGTAACTTGTGATTATTTTTTTACAAATACAAATCATTTTTACAAGGTTATAAATATCCTGATGCATGCTCAATAATCCAGGTAGAAAAATCTAAAAAAGTTAAATCTGGTTGCTAGTATCACTCAGCCCTCTGTGAATAGTAAACAGCCATCAGTGTGCTAATGATCCATTGTTAGGCTGATGGTCCTTCTTGAGCATGTGATCAGCTGGTTTTGGTTGTCAGCAGCAAAACTGGTTGATCCACTCTGAGACGGTGCTATTTAAGAGACTGAGCTGAATACAGCTCCTCAGACTGAGGAAGTCTCTCGGATGAGAGACGAAATGTTTCTACATTTTTTTGTTGTTTTGCTTTGTTTTGTTTTTTTGAATGTCCAGAGGACAAGGTTATAAATCTTTTTTACAATGTTACAAATCTTTTTTTACACGTGCAAAATATTTATGCCTGGAATTTGAGCCCATGGAGTGTGGACCCGTGAGTGCTGAAGTTACCACAGATGCAGCTGGTTCTGGTTGGTTTGTGGTACTGCAGCGAGGCTGTGCAGATGACTCAGCAGCTGGACTCTGTAGTGAGGCTGGATATGGTGCATCCTGTAGCTGAACATCTCCAGCAACGTGTGCAGGATTCCCCATGCGTGAGACTTGATCACGTTGGGCAGCAGCTGACCTGAACAGTTGAATGTGTTTCATTATTTAGCATGTTTATGTTGAACAAGATGAGCTAAAGTTATCTCTGGGATGAAAAAAACTGAAGATCAAACAGCTAAACCTTTACTGGAGATTGACTTTTTCCCTCCTGAATTGACTCACGTTCAGAAAGAAAATGACTAGAGTTTAAGAATTGACTTAATAGATCAAAGATGATGCCTCCTCCAAATATCAGAAATAATAATGCTAAACAATTTACGTGATAAAAAAACATTAATACCGATAATTGTTTTTTGTAGAGAACAACGCATGTCTTAAGATGCTTCTACCCTGAAGCTGTTAGACTCACAAATCCTTAACCAGAAAAAAAGTCACTGTAATGACACTTTAATTGGAGATTTGTCACTTTATCTGTGTTGCTGATTATCTATGCTGCTGATTTCTTACCCATAAGCTGCTATACTCATACCCATCTGATCACAAAAGATTCATGTTCAGAACTGACCAAGATGGCAGCGCAAATAGACGCAGCGACCAGGAGGTCTGAAACCCAGGACAATTTTTGCAATATACGGTTGATACTTTGCATTTTTGGTACATCTTTGATACAGTGGCACTATAGTACAGTCGTGCTGAACTTGTTCAGCTCAACTCAGGAATCACATACAAGCTATCAGCTGAGTACTCTATCCCATCCGAGATCGTCAGACCATCTTCTGGGATCCCTGCAGCAGAGGGCCGGAGAAGACGCTGCGAGCGGAAGAACTAGAGAGGCAAGCGGGCGGGTATGTGGGCTAGGTTAAGGCTAGCCAGTTCAAGCTTCCCACCATCTTTCTCTCCAATGCCCGGTCTATCCATCACAAGATGGATGGAATTCAATTACAGATGACCATGATAAGGGTCTTATAATCTAGCTGTTTTTGTTACTTTTTTGCCATCTTATTTGTAAAAAAAAATTTTTTTTAAATCTGTATGCCTTTTTATAACTGTCTATTGTTGTCGCTGTTGTCCATTGTTGTCATCGTTCTTTGTTTAAATCAGGTCTCTCTTGTAAATGAGTCCTTGAGGCTCAATGGGATTTACCTGTCTAAATAAAGGTTGAATGAAAAAAAAAAAAAGGACCATATGCGACTGTTGCTGCATGATATTCACAGAGACCTGGCTGGATAGCACCATCCCAAATGCGGCTACTGAGCTAGCCGGCTTCACCGCATACCGAGCCAACAGGACTGCAAACTCGGGTAAAAAGATTGGCGGAGGTCTGCGTGTTCATATCAACAATTCCTGGTGTACAAACATTGCTATGGTGGACAACTTGTGTAACCCAGATGTGGAGATTATACTGCTCATATGCAGAGCGTTCTATCTACCAAGGGAGTTCACAGCTGTTTACATGATATATGCGGTGTACATCCCACCAGACGCTAATGCAAAGCTAGCACTGGGACAGTTACATAATAACATAAACAATAGCTTGACAGCCCACCCAGACAGTGTTTTTATAGCAGCAGGGGACTTTAACCACGCTGACTTAAAAAACGTTTTTCCTAAATTTCACTGCATTGTGAAATGTGCAACAAGGGGAGATAAGACTAGACCAGGTCTACACCAACATAGCAGGAGCTTACAAAGCGCAGGTTTAACCTCATCTGGACCTATCAGACCATCTTTCTCTTCTCCTACACCCACAGTACAGACCTAAAATTAAAACTGCTAGCACCATTACCATACCATACCATTTTATTTATAGAGCACTTAAAACAGCTACAAGGCCAACCAAAGTGCTGTACAGACAGAACAACAGACAACACACAAGCTTTTTTGTCAGCTGTTTTGTCATTGTCAAAACTGTTAGATCATGACCCCCAGATGCTATCCATAAGCTACAGGACTGTTTCCACCACACAACCTGGGATACATTTAAAGATCTGAGCATACCAGCACATGAGTCCTTGGATGAATACACCATAACAGGGTTGAACTACATCAACTTTTGTGTGGATTGTGTAACATCCTGGATACGGGTCTGTATTTTACCCAATCAAAAGCACTGGATGACAGAAGGTATTGCAACTACTCAAAGCCAGGGAGGCAGTATTTAGAAAAGGGGACTCTAAGGATTATAGCATGGCCAGGACTGATCTAAGGAAAGGTATCATTGCTGTCAAATTACACCATTCTAAGCAATTGCAGGATAACTTAACAACTCTGACCCAAGACAGGTGTGGGAGAGTGTCAAGGTCATTACGGACTATAAAAGAGCAGCATCTACCCCAGTAAATAGTAATGCTAACTTCGCTGAGGAATTAAATCATTTTTATGCCCACTTTGACAGGGAAAACACAGATCTCCCCTTGCCTCCCTACCACTCTAGAGATGCTGCCCCAGTCCTGAGCACGCACGAAGTGAGAATCGCTCTTCGAAACATCAACCCCAGGAAGGTACCTGGACCACATGGGGTGCTGGGTAGGGTGTTGAGATACTGTGCAGACAAGCTGGCAGATGATTTTTCTTCCATCTACAATATGCCATTGTCCACGTCGTGTGTGCCGGCCTGTTTTAAAGCAGCTGTAATAGTCCCCATCCCTAAACAGTCTGATGTTACTTGCCTAAATGATTATAGACCTGTGGCACTCACACCAGTACCATGCCTGGAGAGACTAATCATCAAACACTTGCGGGGCGGCTGTGGCTGAGTGGTTAAAGCAGTCGTCCTCCAATGGGAGAGCTGGGGGTTCGAATCCCCCAGCAGTCACATGCTGAAGTGTCCCTGGGCAAGACACTGAACCCCTCACAGCCTCTAACGTGTGTCCCATCGGTGTATGAATGTGATCTAAAAGCACTGATTAGTCTCATTAAAATGATTTGTTCAATTAGATTTGTAGAGATCTAGTAGAGTGCTGTATGAATGGGCAAATGAGGACACAGATTGTAGAGTAAAGTGCTTTGAGTATCTTGAAATAAGATAGAAAGGCGCTATATAAGTACAGTCCATTTACATATACACACACACACATATATATATATATATATATATATATATATATATATATATATATATATGTATGTATGTATATATACATCCTGCTAATGAATTTATAATGATTAGTTCACCATTAAGAGTGAGAGCTCTGCAATGAGTTAAACTCAAAGCAGTCTGCTCCTCAAATAATGTAAAATTATTATTTTTGAATATGAATATTCCTGTTCAGTGCCCCGAGACAACTTCTGTTGTGACTTGGCGCTATATAAATAAATGAATTGAATTAAATGTCTGATGAACCAGATTCTACAAAAACTTCTATAATTAAAATTTTAGTTTTTCTTCATCATTTAATGTATTTGCACTCATTGTGTCTACTTTTATTGTTCAATTTAGGTGTTTTTTCTTGTATATTTTATTTTAGCTTTGATTTAAAGTTTAATTCTTGTTTTATGATTTGTACATCTGTGGGATAGAGGTCTATAACATAGGTCATAACACGGTTATACATAAAATGTTTTTAAAAATAGTTTCCACCCCCTCCATCCCAGACCTGTCCTGGTCCGCCCATCTGCAGGGACAGGGGTTCGGCCTTCATAAGCAAGCGAGGCCGAGGTCCGAGCAAGGACTTTCTGCGAGTCAGCAGCTCCGGTGGAGAGGACCAGGAAGTCAGGGACCGCGGAGCTCCATCTAGCCCGCTCTGAATTTTGTTGTCGGTCACCAAACACCAAAAAAACGCCTGGACTTCAGCATTAAACACAGTGTTGTCATTATTGTTTTTAAAATCTTAAAAATAGATCCAGTCACTGCTCCGAGTTCCGAGTAATTGCAAATAGTGGATTGGTGTTTTGAAAAGTTTCTGAAAGATCCAGTGATTCCGCCCCCTGACCAATCAGTGACCGACAGTGTTCTGACGTTACGCTTTGGTGCCAGCTTGGCTCGCTTGGTACAACCTGAGAAGAAGGGACCAAAAGGAGCCGGTTCCACAACAAAATGACAGTGGAAAAGGACTCAAAACTGTACTGAACTGAGCCGAACCAGGCTGAAGAGGAGCTGTGGAAAAGGACCATTAAAGAAATCTATACCACCAACACTGGACACTTATCAATTTGAATATAGGGAGAACAGATGAACAGAAGACACCACTGCTATCATGGTCCACAAACTTCTGGAACATTTAGAGCTCAAGAGCAAATATGCGAGGCTGCGCGTTGTCGAGTTTAGTTCAGCTTTTAACACCATATGGCTGAACAAACTCCTACCAAAGTTGCATGATCTTGGACTGAACAACACTCTATACAATTGGATTTTGGACATTTTAACTAACCGCATGGTGTGTGAGAGAGGGCGAGCACACTTCCTCCAATCTTTCCATCAGCACAGGGGCCCCACAAGGCTACGTGCTCAGCCCAGCGCTTTATACTCTCCTCACTCACAACTGCACATCTTCTTCACCATCAAATCTCATTGTTAAATATGCTGATGACATCACATTGTTGGGGTTCATCAATGACAATAATGAGACAGCATATAGAACTGAAAGACAACAATTGTTATCATGGTGTCACAACCACCACCTGGTTCTTAACATAAAGAAAACCAAGGAAATTATTGTGGATTTTCACAAACAAAATTAAAAAAACATCCACTCTCCACTTTACATCAGAAACAAAGCAGTTGAGAGGGTCACAAATTTTAAATTTCTGGGCGTGACAGTGACAGAGAACCTGACCTGGGGTACTAGCTGTGCCTCAGAGATCGGAAAGGCCCAACAGCGTCTTTCTTTCTGAGGAAACTGAAATGGGCCAAAATTCCTCAGCAGCTTATGATTAACTTCTATAACTGTGCTATTGGAAGTATATTAACCTATATATTCCTAGTGTGGTTCTCCAGCTGCACTAAGGCAGACCAGGAGGCTCTTCAGTGGGTGCTTAAAACAGCTGGGAAGATCATCGAAGAAACTGTCCAGATGACCTGACTGTGAATTATTAGATTTGGAACCTGGATGATTGAGCATGAACTTTGTTATCAGAACTATCTATACAACCCGCTGTCTGAGACGAGTCAACAACATCCTGCGGGATAGGTACCATCCTGCACATAGCCCATTCCATTTGTTACCCTCAGGCAGAAAGTACTGGTCTATATGTGCCAGGATCACCAGAATGGCTCAGAGTCTTTACCAATAAGCTGTGAGACTGTTAATCGAACAGAATCTCTCTGTGACCTCGCCCATACTACTGATATTTTTGGGTGTAACTGGGACCTTGAGTACACAATTTGGTTTTACCTCATGTACCACATGTGATGTGAATGACAATAGTCACCTTGAACCTTGATGTGAGATATTAAATATCCTTTTCTATTTTGACTTTCTGAACTACCTGAAATGTGTTTGTGTTGAATGTTAATAAAACAGTTCCAAACAACTAAAACAATTATTAAAAATCATTAAAGATGTATTTCTAAAATGTGGTGAAAGCTCACTGATAAAT